GTCGGGTCGGTGTCGGTCGGGTCGGCTCAGTCAGTCAGTTCGCCGCCCGCCCGTCTGTAGGTCGTTTGCCGCCGTCGCGCGCCGATTCGCGCGCCGGTATATCGCCGCCGCGTTCAAGTCGCGGGAGTGTGAGAGAGTGAGAGAGAACGGAGCGATCGCGCGAGTGAGGGGGAGGGGAAACTAAAAGGTTGTGCCGCCTCAGCTCCGCGAAGACAATCGCCGTTATACGCGGGGCCCTGGAGCCTTGTCAGGTCTTTAATTCACTTTCCGGTCCGACTGATAGCGCCACAGCCGCGGAGGTGTAAAGTCACCTGGAACCAGAACGCACTCCTGGAACAGGACCTCATCGCGGTGAGGTGCGCCGCGCGCTCTCCTCACCCGCCACCGCGGCCACCCCGAGGAGGCAGGCCTTTTGTGATTGCCGGTAAGTTGCGAGAAGAGAGGAAGTGAGGAAGTGGAGTAGGTGGAGGTGTGGAACAGCAGGAGGAGGAAGTCGCCCACCAAGGACGCCGGGGCGGGCGCGGTATTTTATACATGAGGGACGCCCTGGAGGACATGACATGCGGCGCGGAGCAGTGGGGGACCAGAGGAGCAGCACACACTTTCCATTTTCAAACACCCGCCTACCTAGCGACTCGCCGGCACGTTCTCTCATTCCCCATTCAAACGTTATTCAGAACGGATAAAGCAAGTTATTTGATTCGGATAGCACGACGGCGGGTAGTGCGCAGGGAATAAAGCATTGCGGTAGGGCAAGAATCTGGGCAGTCGCACGTCTGGCAGTAGCGCTGGATTTCGGCACGGGCTTTACTTACACCCCAGCAAACAATGATCTGGATTTGTCCGTGGACTTAAATGTTTAGGAACCTTTATTGTTCATTTTATCACAAAATACTTTGGCTTATTTCAAAACAATAACACGTGTTTTGTTTTAAAACGAAAACAAAATGTTCTCCAAAAATCAAGAATATAATTTGCTGCTTGTAAGAGGCTGCTGTCACGCGCAATGTTCTTCCGCCGACGTACAGGAGAAAAGTGGTAAGTTTTTGCCTACACACGCGCCACCGTTTTGATAAGGGCCGTATGGGGAGCAATCAGCACGTGCCCCCCACCCCCGACCGACCCACGCGTGTTGGTCGGTGTTGATAGTCGTCGGTGAGCGAGGGAATACTGTCGAATACTGTTCAGTTGTTTCCGGTGGTTTTCCGTCAAAGTCGTATAACCCGTCCGCCCCGCACTTGTTACCGAGTACTTTTCTCGCCGAAGCGCAGCTTACTCTGTCGATAATGTGCGTCGTTAATAACACCGCCTTCCTTCCGCCTGTTGCGTTGCACGAGCTGCACGAGCCGGCGCACGACGCACGGTTCGTTCGTTCACACCAAAACTCTCCTTAAGCGCCGCCGCGCGTGTCTTGTGGCTCGTCTGTCTGCATTCGAAATGTATAAAATAACGCAACAACCATCTGCCCGCTCTGTAATAATGAGATGCATTGGATCTGTGCGCAGCGCACTGAGTGCGCCGACACGGGCGGGGCTGAGGCTGAACGTCGCAGTCAACCCCCCCCCCCCTTCCCTCCTCATTTTCTGCTTGCTCACTTGA